GAGATGTTTGAATAAAACAAAATTTTACTCAGTTCACTTAAAGAAATGTTTTTGAATTTCTGATGTGACATCTATAACTCGTATTAGTTCGTGTATACGTGTTATGGGTGTTACATTTATGTAATGATAATGAAACATGAAAGGAAAAGAAAAATCAAATTAGTAACATCAAAGATAATTAAAAGAAAGCAAACCAATTATATTACCAAACAAACCATAAAGGCAGTAAAGCACCCAATTAATTTCACAACCTTAACCATATGTGTTCTAATTCTCTTAGAGTATCCACATAGCTCCAGTGGGGTAGACTTACTAAATTCTCTATATGAAGTTTGGTTCTAAAATAGGGTTCCCAAACTATCCCTATAACCTACTAAGATATATAGAGACTTCAATTCTGGCCCATTACAGACTTTACGAATCAAATTCAGTATAAGATATCCCACCACTAATTTATTGTGTCGGAAACCAATATCCAGACAAACACTTAAAATGCTTTCCAAAGGTACTTTGCCAGACCTACCTGAGGAAAACAAATATTCCCCGGTGGTGTGACGTTTTCCCCATTTAGGTGAAACGTGACGAAACTCGAGTATAGAGCTATGATATGCAACAATCCTAAATATATATTCAATCAAGTGAAAGCATTAACCAAAGAGAAATCCATTTTTTGATTTTTGAAAAAAAAAACTTAATGAATCGTAAATTAAATAAATTCAAACTCAAAATTTCTAAATTTTCAAATATAGGGTAATCGATTCTCGACTCTCTATTTGTTTTCAAATAAAATAAATAAATAAATAAAAGCATGCATAAAAATCTAATTTACTAAGATTATTAATACAAATTTAGTTAAAAACCAACTATTTGTAGGTTACCAAATGAATAAATTAAATTAATATAATATTAAGGTTAATCAATTAACTTAATGATTCAATTGAAATAGAAAAAATAGTTCAAGCATTAAATCTAAACTAATTGTATAATTTTCAAGACAGTAGCCAAATTAAAATAAACTAAAATTAAATATACAATTCAAAATTTACACAGTGATCTAAATGTAAAAAGATACTTAAATTAGAGGGACTAAATTACAATTTCCCGTATTTTACAAGCTTAACATGCATTAACATATAAAAATGCAAAAATCACAAAAGCATGCCATTAAGATTAAAATTAAAATGAAATAATCATTGCAGATGATGAAAATATAAATATGTGCTTAATTTGGGAGGATCTAAGAGCAAATATACCCTAAAGTTTCAATGACTAAAAAATATTTACCCAAAAATATTAATATAAATATCTAATATTAATTTAACCTAAAAACTTAATGATAATCTCTATTATCGGCTGTCTCTCTTTTAAGAGTTCACAAACTCTCTCAAATCTCTCTATTAACTGGAAGCTTTGAAGATCTCTCCCCTCTCATCTTCGTTGTACTTCAACCACGGTTTGTCATTCCTATCACCGCCACTAGTGGTCAAAAAACCTACATCTACCTTAAACAACCTCCAAAAGTTGTGTCTCCCAAACCTAAACCCCGGTTAGCGGATATCAACCACGAATAAAACCTCATTTTCCCTCTAAAATGAACTCATACCTTCATCCCTTCACCTCCGAAGAGTCTAAGGCTAAAATTGCCTCTTACTTTGACCTAAACCACTGCCCCTTTATCCAATATCTCAAATAGGAACCTTCTAAACAACATGCAAACCACTAGACAACCCTCGAAGCACTCTCTAATTTTTTACTTCTTTGCCCGATGAAAACATCTCTGATCGTCTCTTTCTAAACCCATGTAAACGTTTCCCCTCTTTTTCTCTTTATTTTCTATTTTATGATTTTGAAAACTTAGGAAGGAAGATTCTGCTACGAGGCGGTTAAAATACAACTAAAAAATGGTGTGACTAGGTGACCGGTTAAAAGTGCTATAGGAAATGTTATATGTTTTCACCGGAAATATTATTTGTGTTGGTAATAATCATGGTAATAACCGGGAATGTTATCATCATATGTAAAATGCACAAAAAAATATTGACTTTAACATAACCAATTAATTAGTAGAAACATTATCAATCATAATAACATATAGGTAGCGCTTATGTAACGTAATAGGTAGCACTTTTTTAAAACTGATTGGACCTTAGAAATTTGACGATAACAAAATAGGTTAATTAATTGATTTGTTATCAATATTATCTAACATTTTTTAGAAATCCGACGATAACATTGAGAAAGAGAAAATAAAAATACCTTGAAAAATGTTCGATTTATATTGTTTTTTTATTGTTACATGTAAGGGTTTACACTGTATTCCTTTGGGTTTTATACCCTTTACATTTACATATATAAATGGGCAAAAAAACTACAAAATCTAATCATTTTTTCTCTTTTGTTTTCATGCGAGAATCATTTTTTGCTGACTGTGGTTTTTGGAAGTGTACAAGACAAGGTCTAGAAATCTTCTGGAAGGCCAGCTGTCACAAAAGTGTTACTAGCGGCGAGTTAGGTTTGTGTGAGTCCTTATTTAGGTATGGATGACTCTGGATCGTTGGATTGATTTTGATCCAACAACCCAAACGATGGCAACGTTGGATGTTTTGTAGATTAGGGTTAAACAACAACAACAACAACAACAACAACAACAACAATAACAAAACCCTATTCCTATATACAATGGGGTAAGGGGGAGGTAGGGTAGTAGGCTGCCCCCAATGCCAGGATTGAGAGCAGCTTCCTTGGAAGAACTCTGGCAGTAATAAAATCAAAGATAAAGATTAAATGTAATACATGTATAAGTAAATAAATAAATACATAGTTGAACAGTCTTCATATGCAGGCTTCATATGCGCGTCTGTAATGGGAAATAATCCCTGTAAATAAATTCCTGCATAAAAATCTCTGCATATAGAAAGAAACGTATTTAAAAAGAAGAAACCAGAAGAGAATGATACACAATAGTCAACGATAGCAAGCTACGAGAAGGAATAAAGTCAAATGGGTTAAAACCTAAACTAAGGCAACACTACTCCACTACCCTAGTTCTAGGCCTTCATAAAATCTAATGACAGAAACGTATATAAAGTAGAAGTCATGGAACTTATTACAAAGGCGTTAAAAAGAAGACAGAGATGTTATACCATATGTCTGTGACCCGCACTACTCGGCTACCCTGGTCTTAAGTCTCCATACTTTCCTATTAGAGGGCATGTCCTCGGTAATGGCTAAATCCTTCAGATCAGATCTCAAGCAGTCTTCCCACTTCCGCCTTGGTCTTCCTCTCCTTCTGGCACCGTCGACTGTAATCAACTCTACCCTCCTGACCGCATCCGACGGTTGTCGCCTTTGGACATGCCCAAACCACCGTAGTCTTCTCTCCCTCAATTTTTCGGATACATGCACCACCCCCAAGGACATCCTAATAGCAGAGATTGGTGTCATGTCCCACAGAGTTCTACCACATGCCCATCGAAGCATTCTCATTTCTGTGGCCTCCATCCTCTTTACGTTATCCTTCTTGATTGCCCAACATTCTGATCCATACAACAGCGCTGGTCTTATTACCATCCTATGCATACAGGCTTTGTTTGGGCTTGAGTCAGCTTGTAATTGGGTATGGTTATGTAATTTGTCAACAGATGTAGCTTGTATTAGCATTTGTTTACTTTAAATATATATTTAATGCTTATTTATTTATAGGTCATATATTTATATCGTATATTCCTAAATTAAATAAATAAATATTATGAAATATAATCTAATTAATAACCTAATTTATTTATTATAAATCCATACTGGTTAATTATAACTCTAACATGAATAATTGAAATTTAAAGACCAAAACAAATACTCGAACTTTCAATCTAAATAATTCAATTATTTAAAAGATCAAAAATCGGGATGAAAACGGGTGTCTACACTTTAGATAAATATCAATTTAACACTTAAACCTGACCAAAGTCTCTGGTCATCGTCCATCACTTGTCATTGGCCTTGGCGATAGCCGTTGGATCTTAAAATTTTCAATTGATTCTATTTTGGCCTCCTGAATATGAATCTAATATATGTAGAATATGAATCTTTAGAAATAATGACTAATGGTGGTTGACAGTGGCCGACGCCGATGATAAATGACAATCGATGACGAGAAATTTTGATTAGATTCATAGGATAAATTAATGTTTTATCTAAAGTTCAAGAATCAAATTAAAAATTTAACTCAATTTACAAACATTTCACATTATCAAACTAACATCATTTAATGTTACAATAACCAAAAAATTATAAATCAATAAAATAAATTACCAAAATATTACTTTTCTCCGCTCGGTGACAAAATAAAAAAATAAAAAAACAAAATTAATTAACTAGCTATTTTAATTAAAATATTTCTTTCTACAGTTGCTGACGCATCGTCATAAACAAAACACCAAATCAATTTAATAGTGTATCATAGATAAAGACTTGGAGTTTTGGATTAATTGACCGAAAGCAAGTCGATCATAAATCTTAGGAATAGAAACAAAATCAGATAAAATTATATGTATATATGTCTGTTAAACGCATGATTAAGCAAGGCAGATCATAAGCATAATCGTGTCGGTTGGAGTTATTAATTAGTCTATACAGCTGTATGCTTGTATTGTATGGTAGGTCGGGTGAGCTCAAACATGTAATTTAGAATACGAAATGCACCAAGTTAATGTATTTAATAGAGTAAAATAATACGACCAAAATGTATGTTTTCATGTCCCTTTCGCAAACAATAATGATTCCATTCCCATAACCAAAGTGTTTGTTTTTCCCTTTGGCCACACACCACGTAACAGCCGCAGGCACAGCACTAACTCATGGGGACAGCACATTGAAACAAAAGAGATCTAAGGCATTGTCTCTAAGGTATTGTCTAAGACATTTGCTGTAATAAAGAAGCCTTGAACCTCATCCGTCACTACCCACTCCATCATCCTTTCTTTCATATTCTGTCATCTACAGATCTCCATCTCCTTTTCTGCTCTATTTGATTTCCAGTTCAACCATGGTTCCTTTGATTTGCCTATTGCTTTTCTTGGTCATGACTGGCCATTCAAGTAAGTTAGTTGATTTTTTTCCCCTTTCTTTTTCAGGTTCAGATTATATGTAATGCTGTTTGATGGGTGATTGTTTTCCTTTCTTTTTTAATGTTTGCAGGTGCTACTTATTGTTTATGTAAAGATGGAGTGAGTGAACAAGCTCTTCAAACAGCCCTGGATTATGCGTGTGGAAACGGAGTAGATTGTTCTGCAATTCTCCAAAATGGTGCATGCTATAATCCCAACACAGTGAAAGATCACTGCAACTATGCTGTGAATAGTTATTTCCAGAACAATGGTCAAGTTACAGGAAGCTGTGATTTTGCTGGAGCTGCTACAGTTAGTCCAAATCCTCCTACCAGTTAACTTCCTCCCTTCCCTTTCTTTCACCCATGCATGCTATTTCTTTCTTCCCAATCATTCTTTTGTTGGTATAATTTTTTTTTTTTTTTTTTGCAGATATTGCTTCTACTTGCACCTATCCATCAAGGTACGGTTATTAGATTTAAAAAAGTTTCATGCAATGATTGCTTTGATTTGAGGTCTAGTGGCGAATCTTTAAACTTCCTTCGATGGCAGCTCTTTGCTGCAATGATTAAACCATCTGATATTTCATTTTTTTATGCTGTTTCTTCTTTTTTTCAGTAGCACTGGCACTGGCATTGGCACTGGTCCTGGTCCTGGCACCGGCATCGGTACAACTCCGACGACCGGGATTCCGACTGGAACGAGCACCGCCTTTGGCCCAAGCGGATCAACGAGCATCAACCTTCCAAATCATGCGGTTGCCGTCGTCTTCATGAGCGTTAACAACATTTTCTTCACTTTTTTCGTCACTCTTTGGATTGTAACGCGAGGCTTTTGACTTTTGATATAGCATAAAAGAATGAGATTTTAGGTTTGCACGTCAAAGCACATAATTCTTTTCTGTTTTATTTTCTTTATGTGACAATAAATTAAAATTTATTTATCTTCTAAAAAAAATCATTTACAAAGTACGTGGAACTTGATGATGAAGCTGGAACAATCTGCATAAGATACATGATGATGAAGCTGGAAGCGGTGAGCTTTCAAGTGAGGTTAGTGGAAGCTTTATGCATTTAACAAAGTATGTAGAACTTGATGTCGAAACCGGAAGCAGTAATCAATCAGATACATATTCAGAGGTTATAAATGGGGTTGCAGGGATTGAAACTAACCATTTTGAGATTAATCCTGAGGTTGTCAAAGTATGGGGAAACAATCATAATTTTGAAATACAAAGTGATAGCAGTAAACAATCAGAAGTAATTCAAGAGACGGATGGCAATATACTCAACTCAGAAGAAAATCAGAGTTCAACAGCCTCTTCATTGTCTTCATCTACAGGGGATCAGTTTCAAGTGGCTTTAAACCTACCGAAGACCAGATCAGGCCCTAAGCCTGAAGAGAATTCTATGCAATCACTTCGATAAACATCATGTTTCTGGTAACAGTTCTTACAAATTAGGAGAATGTCGAAATGGAGATGCAAGTCTAACGTTAACGTCTCAAGTCTTTAGTGTCACACATGAAACTACATCGATGCAGTACCCGCCTATCCAAGTGATGGACGGAGGAGGAGAGATCGATTCTTATAAGATTCCCTCTGCTTCCTTCGCAAGAAGTAAAAAGGATTGGAGTTATCCATCCACTGAGTCATTATTCAGCATTCAATTAGAGAACTATAGCTTATCCAGAGATCATTTTATGAGATCCACATCCGGAGAATTTCTCAAGTCTGACGAGTTTGTTGAGTCGAGTTCACTCCCTTTAGATCCAGTGGGAGACACAGACAAAGAGGATGTTGAATCGGATAAGAGCAAGGCAACTTCAGCATCTGATGATGGTCTCAAGGATGAAAAAGGCCCGAGTGTTGAAGAAGCAAGCGTGAAAAAGTCTACAGGACCCAGTGTATCCTGGAATCTAGCCACAATTACTCATAATTCTGCTGATAGTGTAGCCAATGTACAGGCTATTGCCTTTCCAATGCAAGTTAGCAGCTTCCTCTGTTTGCAAATATTCCTACTATTGGCAACCTTGCGTTCACTTGTTATGTATGCTTCTCCCACATAGTTGTCATGTGAACCTAGTATGAGCATTTATTCAGCAGGCACTCATAACCATTTAAAAATTTCAAACTTTAGTGTTTGGTCGATGCAGAATGTGCACCTCTTTTGTGGGAGACCATTGCCTAATCTGAACAAATTTTCGGTTACTTCAATCAACAAACCTCGCAGCGCATTTCAAAGCAACGACATTGGATCCGGCAACAGAAGCCATCGGGATCGGAGCTCGGTGGAATCCGCGAACAGCGAGGAGAGAATAAGAGCGAGAAGCAAAGAGAGTAGCCAGAAAATTAAAGCTTTAAATCAAAGCTGGAAGATTTAATAAATGGCGTTCTGAAATTTTGTTTATCTTTTGCTTTGGGAAATCCGGAGTGTTAAAAGAGTGAGCGAAGCTAACGAAGTGACAATTGTTATTCAATTTCAAGGATCGGGTGAAATTGATTTGTGACAGTAATGGGCCTTGGTTTAGCTGGTAAGTACAATGACAACCAATGCCTTCGTATTCCTCTGTGTGAAAATGGCAATGTAGTAAAATAAACAGTTTATGGGGGCTTTATTGTAAGTTTAATGCGTTAATTAGTTAAAATTTAGGTTTAATAGGGGAACCAATAGGCAGACCTCTCGAAGGAATTTTTTTGGTACAACAAGAAGGATTTAAATAAAAAAAAGGCTCAGTTAAATATGCCTTGACAAAAATGTATAATAGTAATTATAAAATTATTACAACAAACCCTAGATGTCTACTGCCTCTGAGCCGTCAGAAGAAAGTCAACTGCCCAAGAGTCAACGCCGAAGAGATGAGGCTCCGCCAGACGTTTCCACGCTCCCCCTACCCGATAACCAAACTGCTATGATTTGCGATAATTCTCCTGTCACTACCCGACCTGTTTCTTACCTTGACATGGTCACTGGCTTTCAAGATGGCAGCACCACTGAAGATATCATTAGATGATGATGACAGAGAATTATTTGATGATGATATCGAGATTGGTGAGAACAACGAAATTCCTTTTATCAATTTTTCAGAACGGTTTCGCAATCTTGCACTTAAAAGAATGAAACTTACATTGATTGTAAAGGTTCTTGACTGACGTGTTGCCTATAACCCGCTACAAAACCGAATCTTGGTTCTTTGGAATCCTGTCCACCCGATCAAATTGATTGATATAAATGGCTGTCCCATTTTCCCATATGTATGGGATAAGGGGAGGTAAGATAATAGGCTACTTTCAACATCAGGTTGAGAGCAGCTTCCGTAAGAGACATCCGAATTATGAAATACCCTCTGTGGGACTCGATCCCACGACCTCAATGTAAAGAACCTTGTGCTCTACCAACTGAGCTGGATGGTCATTTCTTGTCAAATTTTCTGCTAGAAGTGATTATGTGAAGGTTTTTTCCGATGGTTCTTGGGTGATCTTTGGCCATTATCTGATGGTTGAACCTTGATCAGATGATTTTAATCTGTCCTGAAGATATTCATTTTTTCATTTAAATATTATTTATATTATTATTATTATTATTATTATTAAAAAATAATAATAATTACAGGCCCAATTACAAGTAAACCCAACCCAGTTAACAACTCGACCAGGCCCAACAGAACCCTTCTAGGGTTTCCATCATCTAACCCTAGCCGCCTCATCATCTCAGCCGTTGGATCTGAGAGATACCCTAGGGCCACGCGGCCGCCGCAGCTGCTCCCACCATCTCCACCGCTGCCACGTCTCGTCGAAGGCTTCCAGAAGAGCCACTCCAGCCGCACACGTCTTCCCCAAACGGTGAGTCACCACTGGAAGTCTGGTGACTCATTGAAGAACCCCTTTTGGACTGGTCCGAAGCCATCACCGGTGGTGGCTATAAAAGCCACCGAGCCCCCTTCCAGAAAAGAGAAAGGAGAAGAGAGGAAGAACGGAGAACAGAAAAAAAAACCCACAACACAGCAACTAAAAACAAAAGAAAAGAAAGGAGAGAAGCTTAACGAGGAAGCCACGACCGCCGGACCTCTTCAAACGTTACCAAAACCTTCGAAAATCGAAGGTACTTTCTTAGATTTGCTCCGATCGGGAGCTATTTAGGAGAAAAGAACACCGGAACCGTCATTAGGACGGTCCGATCTACGTTTTAGTGTAAAAAAAAAAATTTCGGCCACCGAAGACGGTGGCCGGCGGCGGGGTCAAAGCCGGTGAACGGCGATCGGCCGATGTGCTTCTCTCTGATTTAGAGAGAAGCGAGAGAATTTTTAATTCTCTCAGAGAAGAGAGAGAGAGGGAAGAAAGGAAATGAGGGCTGGCCCGAAGGGCCAGCCGGTTTCGGGCTTAAGTAGCCCTTCCGAAACGACGTCGTTTCGGGGAGGGCTATTTGTGTAATTAACTAAGGGTTAAATCCCGTCCGCAGGCCTTTAACTTGTATTTCTTACATTTTAGTCACTAAATCAAATTTATAATCCTTTTAATTTGGTCTCTAAATTTTATTTATTTATATTTTAGCCCTTAACCGTAATTATAAATATTTTAGATAAATTACTGATTTAATCCTTTAATTTTAATAAATATTTTTTTAATCCTGAGTATATATTTTTAATTTATTTTAATCTGATATTCGAATTTTATATAATTTTATTTTAGTCATCAAATTAATAAATAAGGAAAATGACATGTTTAATCCCTATAATTTTAAATAATTAATTATGAAATAGGTATTTTAATTTTAATTTTATTATAATTTAGTCACTAATTTTAAATATTTTCATTTATTTTACTGCTTTTAAATATGTAGTTCTAATTGTATTTTAATTGTTTTAATTTTACTTGTTTATATATTATTTTTATTATTATTATATAGTCATATAAATATATATATATAATAAGTAATAATTTATATTTTTTTATATAAATTATTTTAATATTTATTTATTTAATTTTTAATATCAAAGAAAAGGGCAGTCTTAATATAACTGGATGTCCTATTCTGGTATTTTAAAATTAAATATTATAAAAAAATTATAATTTATTTTTATTTAAATTATTATATTAATATTTATTAATATCAAAGAAAAGAGCTGTCTTAAGGCACCTAGAAGTCCTTTTCTGATATTTCTAACTAAATAAATATTTTATATAAATTATTTTTTTTTCATAATTATAATTTTGAAATAATAGAATTATAAATTAAATATATTTTGAATTTTTAAATTTATAATAATAAAGACAATTTATAATTAAAAAGTACCAATTTTGGGCGTTGTAGGGGTGCTAATCCTTCCCTAAACGTAACCGACCACGAATCCCTTTTTATTATTAAAAAGAATGAATTTTTGGTTAAAACGCAGATCAATTTATCTTTTAATTGATGTTTTCTTAAAAAATCTTTTAAAATATTTTTTTTAGGTATTCGACCTATCTGACCCAAAAGGCCGATGGCGACTCCCAAATTATTTTCAAAACCATTTATTCACATCACTTTTCCCGCCAAATAAATATTTCGTGCCCGGACGAAAACCGGTTACGACAGCTTGGCGACTCCGCTGGGGACTGGTCAAACTTTTAAAATCAATTATAAATTGTCTCTATTAATTATAAATTAAAAAATTCATATATTTGATTTATAATTATTTCTTTTCAAATTTTTTATATACTTATTATTTTCATAATATTTATATATTTTCTTATAAATATTTCATTTTATTTGCAAGTATTTTATTTCATTATTTATTTTTTCTGTCAGAGGTTTGAACATTTCTCCTCACACACAACACTTGTATTGCATAACATAAAGCTCTATAATTGAGTTTGTCC